GCCAGTGCCCAGACTTGATCCCGAATGAACATCTCTGGAGAGATCTGAAAATGGATGTGCATCGACATTCCCCATCTAACCTGATGGAGCTTGAGAGGTTCTGCATAGAAAAGAGTTTCTATTATGGAGTACTGTTGTGTATAATTTTGAGGGGGAAAATGAATTTACCCCATTTTGGAACAAGACTACCTTTAAAAAATGTGGAAAAATGTGGAGACTTCCTGGATGCATTGTAGCCTTGTGATTGACAGGTGATATGTTCCGGGTGTATGCTCCCTCTTTCCCTATAGCACATGGGACAGGCTTAAATTCCTGGTCACAGGTCCAACTACTAGACTACCTAGTGTCAGTGGATAACTTAACACTCCACCCTCTTGTCCTAATTACGTTTTTTTTTTTTTTTTTTGTGAATGGCTACAAAAACCCAAACATGGCAGCAAGCAAATCACAATTGGCAAGTAAACAACAAATGGGTGACACCACAGTGGCTAAATCCATATTTTATATCAAGTTCGTAGCTTTAACACACACATTAGTGTGAGGTCAGTGTGGCAGTGTTCTAGTTTTTGCCCCTGTACACCCCCAGCACGAAGGTCTTTCAAGGAGTAGGGGAGACCGGGGATAGTTGTAACGTGGGTCAGTTGTAACACTTCCAATTTCTCCAATCAGGGCTAAGTTTCAAATGATGTGACTCATCCTGTGCATGCCCAACTCAGTTCTGCTATCACATGTGAAAAATCAGCACATTTTGTCAAACACAGACAATTTAACACGAAAAAAAGTAATTTGTATGGCAAAAAGTAAGTTTTTCTACTTTATTTCAATTTCTAATAGCATTATTTGCTTTTCAGTTAAACTCATCAAACTTAAATTGTGTTATTTGTATGTCTATGGGGATATATTCTGTGTAGGTCTTTAGTGCTAATGTTTTAGCCGTTGGCTGTAATGTTAGCTAGTTCATGGCTATAGGAGTCTGGGTCAGTTGTAACAGCAACAGTCTGGGTTAGTTGTAACAATAATGCAGATGTTACAACTTACCACACTATTACTTTAACTTATATTAAACAAGTTGGGGCAACGACATCAGCAGAGAGAGGTTCACTGGTTTCATTTGTATATGCGGTTAATGCCATTGGCAACACAATTCCTCCACTGTTTGTGTTCCCACACATACATTATGCAGACCACTGTGTCAGAGATGGACCAGTAGGAAGTACTGGTAGTGGAAATAAATCAGGATGGGTGCAAGAAACAGATTTCCTCATCTTTCTGAAGCACTTTGCAAACCACACCAAGGTAAGCCATGATAAAAAGTAATGGAATTGCGATGCTGGTGAACAACTACATTTTTCCAGCTTCATTGTTATGTTCAAAATTGGTGCAAGAGTTGTAGGTTATAATGCCCACTGAGCCAATGAGGCCAACCTCGAGGAAGACCAACCAAAATTAATGAAATATTCAGTTGCAGAAAATTCCATAACTTGTCTTTTTTGGGGGGTTGGAATATGTTCAAAAGCTAGATTTCTGCATTCGGTCACACACACACACACATCTACATAAATGGATGTAAGTGCATTCATGTGTTGAATAAACAAAGATTACATGTTAATGTTTTGTTAGTACCCTTATTTCATTGTGTTACATTTCACCCCAGGATATGTTACAACTAACCCAGACTACGGGGTAAATTGTAACATTTCACTCTTCGTGTTTGAGACCATACCATGCAATGGGTAATTGTGCTGCAGAGAAAATAGCTGCACTATTTAATAGCCGAGACATGTAAATACTTTGCATTACATTTTGAATCCACTACCTTAAAAGAGCTTCAATTTACAGACAGAAATGTCAAAAATGTTACAACTATCCCCGGTCTCCCCTACAGCAATTGCAATGTTGTTAAAAACATTTAAAGGTTATATAGAATCTGCACTTCAATCACAGCTTCGTTGCTTCAATCGTCCCGAAGCCTTAGTTCATAACACATTTCCTGGATGTCCCCTTCTCTTAAAAAAAAAAAACAAAAAAAAAAACGCACACAGTATCCCTCAGCGTCCTGCCCCTGCTGCTGTTGCTCTGATCCGAAACAGCCTGACCTCACAGTGATGTGTTCACGTGTCTCTGAGTACGGGTCGGGATGTTGCAGCAGTGAACCTCCCGTTTTTCGCCCTCAGCTGCCTCTTTGTCACATTCTTTAATAAATATGTGCAGCTTCGCTTTAACTCCACGTTAGACGTTCTTCTACACATAAGAGCAATTAGCATTAGCATACTAGTCTCTAGCTAAGAGGCGCTTAAGCAGCAGCTGCCTTCCTCACTCCTCGTTTTCCTCCACACCGTGTATGTTACCTGTGGCCCAACAGGTTAAGCTCATCTGTTGCCGTCCGCTTCTTGCCGTTTCTCCCGGTGTATGCTTTGAACTCAAGAGGCGTATAAACGAAGTTTTATAGCAGCGGCCGTTCGAAGCTTCCGGTGATTGATTATACTGCACTACCATCGGTTCGCTCGGAGCTCCACTACATGGCCTGTGGCTGGCCGCTAAAGGAGCATTACAACGGCGTGTTTAGAAAACTAAAAGTTTTAGGAACGGGTCTTACATTTAATACTACTTTTAATATTAATAATTAATTAATACTAATAATTTCATCTGAAAATTAGCCCAGTCGAAAAATGTATAAACCACATGAAAGGGAGCAGTTTCAAACGTTCATCGGAGTCCACCTTGGACTGAGTCACTCCCAGGGTGAAGGTTGGCACATAATTGCGATCTCATTTATAGACACAGACAGACTGCCAACCAATCTGAGTATTTGTTAATTTCTCAATCTGACTTTCTGCTTCAAATCTGTTAGGTTCTGACTCTGACAATAAGTATTACAAGTGAATTTTGAATTATAATGTCTTTATTGAAGCAGAGCTTACATTGAAATGAGGAATTTCATTGTGAGTTCTTTCTTTTTTTTCTGTTTAATGTGAATTTCGGTGTATGTACGAGGCAACAGATTTGCGATTTTTAATGACTCGTCACAATTAATTACCATATTATCACAACCCCATCTTCTTACTTTATTGCCATCATGATCAGGGCCGTGCAGAGAGGTTTAAAGGGGCGGGTGCTTAAAGCTAAAAAGGGGCACATTGAGCCAGGCTGAATAACAACAACACACATTCATCAAGAATCTAATATGGGCAACAAGGCAAAGCAAACGTAGCCGATGTTTTACCTGATGGGTACAATGTTGCTGTTGAGGGGTTGCTGTGGATAGTGCTGGAGGGCAGGGCTGTGTTGATCTGAGACTGTAGACATTAAAAAGTCCATAGGAGAGA